GGGGGGGGGAGGGGAAGATGCATGTCCTACACGTAGGCAATCTTGTAACTATGCTTATCGAGTGGATTGGAGTGGTGCTCGAGTTTAGCCGCTGCCCCGGTCTCCCGTTCTGCTTGAGAACCGTTGGCAGTGGAAGTCATATCGGTTGCTAATGTCACAAACACGTTAGTCTCATATACACGATACTACTATAAGCAGAGTTGAGATTAGAGGGATGTGTCTGAGTGGATACATAGTGGAATCAGCGTGATAAGTGGAAGTGGTTGCGACGTGTAATCAATGAGCTTCCTCGATAGTACGACAGCTTGAAAGGTGACTCGGATTTCGCATTGATGTCACCTCGCACTGGATGGGACAAGTGATTGAGGGGAATAATACCAAAAAAACGGAGGTGGTGCCGTTTATTGACCAGTTTAGCACTCAACTTTGGTAAGTGGCTACTTTGGGCCGAGCTACTATACCTTCATACAATGAGCTGCTGTGCAGTTGACGCTGGTTGTAGATCCTCCATCTCAGTTCTCTCGGAGAGACTCGGGCAGAGTTACTAGGAATGCTAGTATGGATGAAGAACCAAACGAGGAAAGGGCACATCAAGAGTGTCTGATGTGGGGGAGATTCTTACTCACGACATAAGCGGTGTCCATAATCGAGTCGCGCCCCTACCCTACATAGCACAATTCTAACAAACAACTGGTACTACACTAGTAATCGTTACATCCCTGCATATCAGATGCATATATTGAAATTGGGTTTTACACATTACGTCGCCATGGGAACACCTGTAGTACTTTGTGTGACCCCACGACGTTTGGCAGTCACTTTAGGATTTGTCTGGACCTTGTACACGTGGGCTGGCCTTCGAGCCATCCCCAGGCCCATTTGTCCTGTCGTCTTCGGAATACATATATCCAGCTGCACTTATTGACTTCTTGCACTGGGTAGGAAGTGTCGGAATCCCACAACACCTTGCTTTCTCAGACGGCGACCATGCGAGGGAGGCAGATTGTAATTTTGAAATTCAGTTGGCAGCACTCTGAGAGTTCTAAAATTAGAACGACTGTTTTGGGAGCTAAGTTTGTAGCCTAAGTTGACTTAAAACTTACATCCAAACCAGCGACGAAAATACTTTTTTTCCATTAAGCACAGCTGCATCCGAAACCATGAATTTGTGGGATACGAACAATAAATAGAGTTGTAGGTTAGGTGCAGATTAATCGCAACAAACACGCCAAGATTTGCAAAATTATTTGCTAAACCCATGAAACACTCTCAAACACCTTGGACCAATTGTTAAATTACAGCCATCATTAGAGTTGCAGCGGCTTTGAATAGCTTGTGCGATGTCAGGCATCGAGAGAGCCTTACTAGCCCTTCGCAATTACCCGAGGGTTTCGGCTTATAATATTAAGGACCTCCCTTATAGCAAACTGCCTGTGAGTTGTTGGTAGGAAAGCCTGTTTTGACACCATTATTTAGTAGTGGTTGGCTGTCTATCATCCACAAAGTATAATCTACCTTACTTCCGGGCTTTGCTTCTTTCTTCATTTTAAAATTTTCCCTTCCTCTGCGTATTTGGATTGTCGATCGTTTTGTTACATTATTCTCTTCCTTAATTATTTGCTATAACCACATGGATAGTTATCTGGAGTTACAGTTCGTTTCATTTCACTTGGATTTTGTAGTCCGTGATGTGTACTAGTCCTCACCAAAACTTATTTCTTCCTGATTCTTCAATTACCGATCTGCATTGGGTTTTTAAGACTGAACCTCCGTCCCTTGGCAGAAATTACTCTTCGTTCGTGCATTTCGACATAGCTGTTTCCCAACTTTTTACCTTTTATTTGACTTTGGACCAATATCTCATTTAGAAATACCATGGTCTTCAACGTAAAAAGCGTGGTCTTGGTCATCGAGGCATGAGTCAATTCCAGTGCTGGCAACCTCTTGGGACTCTTAAAGATCGAACACCGTTCTACATAACCGTACCTAAGGAACCCTACAACGAAAACCATCTGTATTTTCTGTCGTTTTACTCATTATTTTCCTTCTCTTAGGTCTCGACGCTCCTTGGTCCGCCTTTCGCTTCTCGAGCTGCAACGCCTAATTGATTTGTCTCGTATTGATCCCACATACCCGATTGATATGTCAACAATATGTAATACTGGTCTCTTCCGCTTGAGTGCAGACGATGAGCGACTGTACGGATTTCACTTGACAGAGGACGTAAGTCTCAAAGTCCACTCTTTTACATCCTAGGGAGCGGACGAGTTTGTGACACCACTTAATATTGAAGTGCAGTACGCCAGTGAATTGGCTATTGCAGCTGTCGAGAGGGCTGGAGGTGTCATTACTACCCGATATTACGATCTACTTTCAGTTTTTGCCAAGGCTGATCCCTTTTCCTTCTTTGAGAAAGGGCTTCCTATACCACGGGGAAAGAAACCTCCACTTGTAAGTTGTTTTTCACCTTTCGATGTTTGTCTCTGCAAACTACGAACGGGCTTCTTTCACGATTATTATCCTAGTTTTTTAAAGAGATTTTTTGTGGATGTAGTTTCCGTGTGTCTACACCGGGCATGCTTATTACTTGTAAGTAGGCATCGTTGCACTTTTTGCATTTTAAAGAGCTTCAAGGTGATAGTTAAGTTCAGACGGTGTGTTTCATCTGTTGCGTTCTGCATTTTCGGGAATGCAGGAGTCGGATTGTGTGACTGGTTTGTATTGCGAATGCAACTTTTTCGTAGGTAGTGCTATCAGTTTCCACTCTTCCATTTTCTAATATAAAATTAGGAGCATATAATTGTGTTGGCGAGCATTTGATTGTACCGTTGACGCATGTATTTTTACGCTATTCATTTGCTATCAAATTTATAGAAATAAGATTTAAAAGATTTCTTGTGCTCAAACGTCATTTTTTCGGTTTGTAGCGTCGCTTAATTATTTTGGCACACTAGTGAATAATCTTCACTTGATTTGCCCACTCTAGGACGCTCTCAAGTACTACACGAGTGGAGCAAACCGTGGTTATCTGGCCAGTCCAAAGCAGATTGCAGATGCTCGTGTCTGGTTGGCCCAAAAGTACGGCTACACTCTGGTAGACATTGCCTCTAGTCCGTATAAAGACCTTCTTTCCATTCAAAAGGAGCCGTGGCGCATCTTTCATGGACTCGAACCTGGATGGCTTGTCAGTCTGACAGACAAAGTGATCATCAAACCTGTTGATAGCTTACAACACGAGAACTTCTACAAAAGTTGACCCTAGAGCCTTCTGTACATAGTAAACTAATACTTTTAGGTAAATTGAATTGTATTATACCGCCGTTAATTTACTGCAACCAATTTCTTAGTCGTAATATCGTCTTTGTCTTTCCGGGCATGCTCCATAGTTTTTTTGCACAAGCACCTTTTAAAAATTATGGAATTGTTCACCGTTATAGCGCATCTGCTGTTAACAGTTGTCTGAGTTTCTTTAAGTAGGTCATGAATCACTATTGTTAAGGTTTCTATTTTTAAAATTTATGGAAGTGGTTTTTTCCCAAAAGAATGTAAATTCAAGAAAGTGGGATAATAGGAGTGGGCATTTCCTCACTAGAGCGGTACGTTGTTTGTATCTGGGTTTGCGATTGTTGCAAATGGTCACAGTGATCAAATATTTTCTTTTCACCTATGCATCAACCCGTGTTGTTGCGGGAGCTTACAACGGAGCTGAGAAAGCTTAGGTGCTGGTGCATGCTTATTACACCATGATGCTGGTTCGAAGTGTGATATGATACCTTCCAACTCCGTTGCGCGGTTACTGCATTTTCCAACTTCCTCTACTCCTCTCTTACAATGGGTACGTTAAACTGTGCCTCGAAAGGGAGCTATTTATCTGATAAGTATTTGCAATGTGCTGCATTGCTCTTTCTGACACCATCAATGGGACTGAGGAAGCGGCATTGAGGTACCTTAGCCGTACCTCGTTGTGTCAAGGAATGCTAATAAATAGTATCAATACTAGCTTTGGAGCCATCTCTTAAGGTACAACTATCTGCCAACTTATTTGCATTCAACTAGCTCCTTAAAATGGCTTTGTGTTTCAGGTGGGTTCGGATTATAATTGGTCACTCAAGTTGTGAACTTCTTGTCTTTGCCTGATAAGTTCCAATTCTACTTCAGTAGCCTTTATCTGGGTATTTGCTAACCGTGTTTGACGTTGCTGTCCTACTTTTGCACTCCCACTGTGCACTTCTGTTTAAGCAACAGTTCTATTGCATCTCATATCTTCCATTTGCTTCGGCAAGAAGATATACATAGTTAGTGAATCGAATATGAACATTTTTTTGTAGCGTCCTGACACTTCCCACTGGGTAGAAGGCATTAAGTGGAGCTGAATACATATATTTTAGGGAGGGCAAAGGGGTTAAACCTGAACTTGGTCCAGAGGCTGGCCTACGCGTACAAGTGTTAGACATCAGGTGGGGAACCCACTTTGATGGTTAACCCTGCGCCAATAGTTGTTCAGGCACTGCTTATGTAACACGTTTGTTGATATCAGCTCTTAATTACACTATTTGGTTATTCGTTCATTTAAGCTTTTCCGGTGCGAATAGAAGTACGGATTGTTTGCGTCGGTACCAAGGTAAGTGGATTATTTAACTATTCTTTGTTATTGGGGAATCAGCCTAGTTACAGTAACCCACCTTGGCCAACAGTTTTTAGTATTTAAATGAATTTTCGGTCAGTTTAAGTTAAGGATATCAATTTAAGAATCATATACCAGTGTCTACCGTATATATCATCACTGTACTGACACGTTTATAGTCAATCAGGAAAAGAAGTGGTTCTCGTTCCACCGATAAACACGCATAACGTACTTTCCACTCTGGTGGTGCGGCCACCTGATTTTGAATGTTTGCTACCCTACCTTGGTAGCTCCTTCATTTTACGGTCAACATAAGACGTTTGGATGGGGATTTCGTTCGTCTATGACTTCTTTTCAATCGACCCAGTCGTTTTGGCTACAGCTGTTTGGTTGTTTATCCTTGCAATGGAGCATTATTTGTGGTCAGCAGCAGTGATAATTTTCTACACGTTAAGTGGAGTATACATTTACTGAAAGTTTTCGGGTCCGCTTTAGTCAATGTGCATGAGGTTTATAGAGAAGGGCTGTTCTCTTGGGTAGCGCGTCGTTCCAAGAAATGGGATATGGTCTGCCCAAGCGCTCCAGCACATCAGCTAAGTTGGGCTAATCTGTAAGCGGTGTCTTATCTCCGATAAATAGATTGCTTTTTGGATCGGAGGTATTTCAGTTCTGAATATTTCACCAACCAGAAACGCTGTCCACTCAAGAATTGCATTTGGTATTGTATCGGTCGTAATTTCTTAAGTTCCTGCGTTTAAAAGTGTTTCATATCTTGTAGGTAATGAGTTTCGAGCTACATTATAAGACACAGCAGAAGTGCACTATGTGACGCAATAATCGGGTTTTTGTTTGCGCCACACGGGTTCAACTGTCCTCAAGGTAGTAAATAAACATCTAAGCAATTCTATCCATACTACCCACTAAATAGCAATGTGTACCATTTGGGCCAAAATACAACACGTGTTCGTAAATGTAGGCAAGGTTAGTACAAATATTTGAAGTCGCTACTATACCATGAAATTGGTTTGCGACAACACCAAGATATGCAAGAACGCAAGAGCAGAAAATGTGGCATTAGATTACACGAATTGATTGGATTGCCACTAGTAAGTGGCATTTGATGTGGATGGATTCATCGTATTTGTGTTGTTATGGATAGCTTTCTCGTAGCTTTGGTAGACCTTTCTCCTTTCTAGCAAGGGGGGTCCCAGACCGAGAGAGCGCCAGCAAGCCCTTCTTAGGCCTCTGTCCATTAGGAGGAGGGCTATTGGCAGAAGCAGTCCCGTGCTGGCGTACACCCACCATCGGAAGTCCGCCAACCGCGAAGCAGCCACCTGGATAAAGCACCTCGCTGGGCGATACCTGGACAAGTCGATACCTGGGATGTGATAAAGGGGCTGCTTTACGAAGTGCGCGTTGTCGGGCGTGTGACAAAGTCCATAAGCCAGACTGGAGAGTATAAGTGGAGACCATATACCGACTGCAACTATGCATGATACCATGTTGATTGCCACTGCCAGTTGCTCTCCGCGGTACGTTTGTAACCATCGTTTCATCAAAACCACAGTTGATGTATCTTTAGTAGTGCGTTTTTCCTGACATCTACCCCGAAAGTCATCAAACATCACTGTCTCCGTATCGTAAGAGATTCTGCCGTGTCTGGGACACTCGTGAACTGTTTCTATGGTACCTGTGGAGTTTGGGTTTATCGTCTCAGTGAGTGGAGCAAGGGTCTCTAACGTAATGTCCCTTCGAATGGATGAATTTATGCGCGGTTCTAGAGGGTACTCTGGTGGAACAAATCTTAGTCGACGCAGGCAACGCACTTGAAGACCTGTGAGAACGAGGCATCCAATGAGAGGCAACGCATATGCAACCGAAGTGCGCAGTATGAGGAAATTGGGGTCGGTAACTATGCACGTAGCTTCCAGTTGGTTGGTAAATGCGGGGAAAAATTGACGTTGGCAGTCCTCCGAGAGATGGGCAAGATCTCGGTCGCTGATGACGAGTTGAGCAATGGCTAGGAGGCCGGAAACAAACCATGGTGAACTAATTTTAAGCCAAAGCGTCGCTTGTCTTCCTGACTTCAGCCCAGTAGGTTCGGGATTCCTTCTTTGATGAGAGAGACGAAGATATGAGTCAAGACCGGAACAAAAAGCATGCAGCAGTGCCAAATTGCAGAACAATGTATCGAGGTGAGTTGAGAAGAGGCAGAATATCCCCAAATAAGAGCTCATACTAGTTGATCCTGTGTGAATAAAAGAATTTAAAGGATAAGTATCATGGGTAGTATACTCACACCTCCAAGTGAATCTTTTTGCCCGATATTTAATACATTGAAATGTGAAGTTTGTTAAGTACTTTTTTATACGGTGACACACCTAGACAGGAGATTTAAAATCATCTGTCTAGGCAATCCTTGGCATCCATGTAAACTTATGGGTTTATTTTATTTCATTATCTGCAATTCTTTATGAATCCCGTTAAACCTGGATATTGCACTCACTTATTTGGGATAAGAAGGCAGGATTGGGTTTCTTTCACTTCACCTGGTAGACTTCAGTTGAAATGGGAAATTGGAAAATGTGTCATGTTCAACTGTTCATTTACCTTTTTTGCAGACACTTTATTGTTTGTAATTCTACAATTTTTCAAAAATTGCTGCAGGTCAAGGACAAAAGGAAAATTTCGTACTGTTGTCTTGCATTTCCCACGCATAGCGGTAGAGCACTCCATGGCGAATTTTTTTGTCAAGAGTTGGTACAAAAGACGATTTTAACCCTGTTAAGAATAATCTTGCCCTACACACGTTATTTTTTCGCCTGCGCGCCCAGTTTTTTGGAAGCAACACGGGGCATGTGCTTAGTTTTCTTGAATGTTTATGAAGAAGGTACCGATAAAGCTACTGTCGAAATGCTTGCAAATGGTTGATCACTTCCTATTCATTCAATACCTTAACTCTTTCTGATCTTTGACAATGTAATAATCCAAAAGAGGAGGATGAACCAAAACAATCGAAGTAGAGGAGAGCACTACCGTGAATTCGAGCATCCTTTTTGACACTTTTCAAAGCTATCAAAACAAGCCAATGTCTCAGCAATGTGCTTTATTATAGGAGCGGTTATTTTTGATGCGCTTTGATTTTGAATGGGTGACTTTTAATTTGTCATGCTTTTATAATTTGCAGTTCTTGGGAAGCTCCAAAGAGTATAATTTCGGAGTAATACAAAGACCAGATGGCGAATGCAAACTGAAGTAAACAAAAAGCATTTCCAAAAAAGTTGTGAGCCTCTAGTTGTAGTATAAATGCATTTTCCTTTTGTGTAAGAAAGAAAGCCCTTCTTAGCACATTGAAAGGGAACTGACAAACTTGTGGTGCAGGGTTTGGGATCGACACTAGCCAAAGCAAATTGCATACCTTCCTGCCAACATTTCGCATTGCAGACTTGATGAGTTTCCCCAGCACAGCGACATGCCATAACATGTCATCCTAGTTAGTGTTTTCTTCAGTTTACCTCACAAGATTAATTTTCGCCATCCTCCTTATTGCTGTTTTGTTTCCCACGAATACAGCTGGTGGGAAACGACGCCGTAGTTTCGTGCTGTGATGTGGACATTCGTGTAAGACAGTCAAATTATTGCACGTGACATTTGCAGCAAAATGTAGGTGGAACCAGAAAACTGCTCAAAATGTTTTATGCATTGAAGCATTTACAAGTGCAGCCTACAGGTCCTTTCAGTCTGTTGAGCATGCAAATGCCATCTGCATAAGGTCGTTGCAAGTAGTATAGTTTTAGTCATCGCTTCTACCTCAATTGTGTTTCCTCAGTCTTCTTTGTGGTTGTGATTGTGTGGTGCTGGAGCAGAATGGTAACTGCTCGGGGTAATCGGCGCAAAACAGAGAGGATGAGGCGGAATCTCCCTTTTATCTTAAAGTGGTATGGGTCCCACATCAGATCAAGTATCGAGTCACGCCTGTTCCCGAAGAGGACGAAGTCGTTCTTGTACACCCCTGAGTTGTGCCGCGTTGAGTGGATGTATTGTACCAGCAGCAGTAGTAGTAGTTGTTATTGTTGTTTTATTGTGAAGACCTCAAGAAGTCGTGCCGCCTCAAGGAGTATGGGTGAGCTGTCTGGATGTGGTGGAGCTTAATGTTTTCCACGAATTGTTCGTAGATCAAGTTGAAGGCTACTGAAAGCCCTTCTCGATACATGAGGCTATGATTGAGGAAGGCGAGTCTCCTTCGAGGTGATGCAACTTTCAATCAATCAATCAATCAATCTAGTTAAGTTAGAGCCTTTCAGGCGGTATATTCTGTTGGCGCCAAATCCTCCGCGAAGCCCCTCCAGCTTTACGGCAGCGTGAGAGTTCAAGGTGGCAGTAACGCTGCCAAAGAGCGATGACAGACCGCTGAATGTCTGTGTCCAGCATTGCATTTACGCAATTCTATCACATTATTCAAATTGTTTAACTAATTTATCCGTCTTTGATGGAGACGGAACATAAAATAACTATACCGGTAAATAATGGTACGCTTTTTTGCTAACGCTCGTGTTCATGATGTATTCAAGGCCGTTTTTGCTTGCACTACTCATGGTTTCGCTATGCAAGTACTCTACTGGCGGAATTTTTAATACGAATTTATGTTGTCTATTAGAGCATTCCGAAAGCAGTCCACCTGAGGAATTTTAATAAGCACTTATTTTAAACCGAAATATTGGGTTGAGGGGAAAGTGTTTGGAGCGTCGGCTTAACAGCACGTGTTTATTTCAGGATAGATGAAATGCGTGCATAATTTACCACTTTGCGTACTATAATTTTGCCGGTTTTTAACGGGAGGTTGTGTAATGCCACTGCTAACAGCGAAAATCAGTTGCCAAATGGAACGTAATTTTGCGAATTTTGTTTGAGACTATTTCCACTTTTAAGAGTGATGATAATTCACATAGTTCGTGAATGGAGGCACTGCTTCGTGTAAGTGTATCCTGTAGATTGCTGACCATATATGAATTAAGAAAGTGGCAACTCGTTTTGATCTACTCTAGAGTATTTGGGCTGAACCAATTTTGAAACTCAGTAGTTAAGTTTAGGCCTGGCAATTCCTCGCGCATACGCTGTTGGAACATAAGTTGAGCAGATGGATCCCAATTTTCATCAATTTTAAGGAGTAGCAAAAGTTGGCTCTTTGACGCCTGCTTGAATCACAATGTGTAAACTATTTCACTACCCACAGGATCAATTAACTTTTGACTACTCATAAAACTAGTTGTGATTTATTGAAAAACCGTATTGTAATTCAAAAGTTAGATGAACGACTCATCATAAGTTTGGGGACGAGTGGCCCATAGTTGTAAAGATGGTCTAAAAAGGTGCTACAATTTTCGTCGTTTCATTGTTTTCGACGCATATCAGTAATACTGCCCAGACCTCAGTTTTAGGAAAAAAGTGATGTAGTGTCATTCTCACCCTTCACCACAAGTTTCAGAGTGAGTCATGATTCGTAAGCTCTGGCACAATTTGCCTCAGAAATGGCCCTATAGTTTTAGCCAAACTTTGGTGCCACAGAATTTCTCCTGTTAAATTTGGACGAGTTAGTTAATGCGTTGTTGAATATTGGCAGTTACCAACGTCAAAATATACAAAAGTCAACCCAAAAAAACCGGGTCAAAGATTGGCTAAGGAGAATATCTTGTTTTAGCAATCATTATAAGGATTTTAATTACCAGGATCAAGACAGCTTCAGTAGGCATTTAATTTCGGCACTTCAAATCAAGCTAAGCTCTTTGGTTTTATTTAGGCAAATGAGAGAGAATCGAGCTTTCATATCATCGGTCTTTACAATTCTTACTTGATGTATGAACCGAATCGTCTCCTCGAAGGAGTGGGCATAACTTCTGACTACCTACTTGTTTTCTGACGCATGTGGCGCACAGATGAAACATTCGCAACATGGTCGTCAAGTGACAACACCACTTGGGAATAAAAAAACTTGACCTCATTCAAATCATCCTGACGCACTGTTCTGGAAATTATTTCAAGGTATTGAATGATCAAGGAACACCTTTTCTGGAATTAATAAATTTTTAAAATTGTCACTGATCAGTTAGACGCAGTATCGAAAAGAATTGCAAATTTTAGTTCTGTTTACACATTCCCTCTTCGGCAAAGCGCTACTGCGCAAGTCCAAAAAAAGCATTTTTCCATAATGCTTTCTTCATTCAGCTCAAATGAGTAAATCTTTAGAAAATAAAGCATAATATTCCCATACGTTTCCTGGTTAACTTGAACCCTATACAGAGAGGTGAATTCCGTAGTCTCAGTGACTAAAACATTTGTCCATCTATTTAGTCGAGTTTTACAGCAGCATTCGTGATACCTTTCCTTGCGATTAAGCCAGCACTACGTGATTTACTCTAGAGAGATTGGCTGGGCTCATTAAACTACTCAAAGCGTAAATCTGTATCCACTCGAGTGGCTTAAATAGCACCTTTCCGAAACTCCGTGCTTTTACGACCAGCTTGTGATGAATTTTGGCTACTTAATTTAACTTTGCGGTACGTCGATTGTCCAAAAAATAAAGTGCTTGATTGAACGGGAAAAATAAATCCACAGTTATTTAATCCATTATGGTGGCCGATTCATGGAAAAAGGTGGCACATTAATGGTTAGCCGAGTTAGTTTTTTAGCAAGAGGTCAAAAAAATGATAGCATCATTCTTAGGAAATTTGCAATTTCAGCTGCAAGCCTGTGTTAGAGAAAAATTAGAAGAACCACAAAGCATAAGCATGCTGATAAGGTAGATAGAAAAATCTGGGACGTCATCCCCAATCCCTCCACCTAATAATAAATGAATAAATGGCCAATGCGCAGCATAATACTCAGGTCCCGAAGTTCATCTCCGATTTTTAAATTTAATCAGTCAGTCATTCTGAGATGGTGGCAACACAATTGTAAATCCCAATTTTTTGGACTTCTGACATTCATGGACAGCCGTTGTCTAAAGCATCACTTTTCAATAAATGTCGCTGTTATTTACCGTTATGACACCATGAATGCTAGTGGCAGGTTTTGCGCAAATCATGCATTGACAAGGTCACAAAGTGGGAAGAGAAAAGAAGAGATGAAAAGGAGCCAACTGACCAAAAAGGAGAATAAGCAAGCCCGGAGGGAGGTTTAGCGTGGCATAGATGAGGGCAGCGACAGTTTGTGATCCGACGAAGTAGTAGGCGACACGCACTACACCCGGATCTGCCATGACTTGGAAGACGCCGCCCAGAAGGGTGCAGTTTGACATCCAGCAGGCAAAGAGGAGAAAGCACCCGAGGAGGGTGGGCAGCCAACCCGGTAGACACGCATGTTTGCCTGTTGGGCGAGCCATCGGCTCTTGCGTGCGCCCCGCGCACCATGACATAGTCACCAGTGGTAGCAGAAGAAATAAAGCCACGAGCGGGTGTGCCAAATATGGCCTCGATTGAAGAAACATTCGTGTCGAAAATTATCAGCTGATGCTGAAAGTGTCCGAGTTTCGTTTCTGTGTATATGCACGCGAATGCACACGCGCACGTCCGATTCACTCGGTGATTGGCTGGAGACGATGAGACCACCTGATTGCTGCGTCTGTGTGGCCTACGCACTCCGCCGCCAACCTTGTCAAAAAGGCTTGTGATTGCACACTGTATCCAGCAGTTTTCTTGTAATTTCATTTTAGCCCTAATTTGAAACGCTGGAGGCTAAGAGGGTTCCCCGCCTAAAACTATGTTGCATCATAAATATAGCATCAAAGTTGTTTGTGGTCTGTGAATATCATCAGGTCCTATTCACCTACTCAATTCAAGCATTTTTACAAAATCCAGTTTCAACAGCATGCGCCTAATTGGTGTTAACTTACCAGAACTAAACAGAGAGTTTTCTCGGAGCTTCGAACAATGTATTTTCGGTATGATCTTTAAGCTATCCGTACGAGAAGTTCGCAAAATGAATACATTATCATCAGAAGTTGAAAATGCAAACCTAGAACCTCAAAATTCTATGTTGCAAGCAAAGAAAGCCACAAGTAATGGCATAAATGGGACCTCGAAGGCTCAGCTCCCTACTGCGCTCTAATCCTTTAATCCTTCAAACGTCTTTACGGTTGATGATCTGCTTTTATAATTTCCAATCAGCTTTTGAAAGTCTTCCGATAGAGCGTTGTGACATTGAGGACACCAACTTAACTTTCAGACGTAACAGCTGTCTTCGACCGAAATTACGTTTTTTGATGCATTTTAGAACCCCAACAGACCCCTATTTATCACATCAGAATTAGAACTAGTGGAATGCTGCCACTTCTATACCTTAGATATCATAAGCCAACTCGACTGACTCCTTACCATGAAACATGCGCTTATCTTCAAGAAAGGCTTCGAGGTAGTTCCAAATATAGAGAACATTAACTCCTATTCTTTATACAAGATGAAACGGTGTGGTTATTACAGCAGCAGTTTAGTGTGCTTCCAGGATTTTCCACAGATATATCAACATCACAAATGGTAGGAGTACATTTGTCAATAAACATATTTTAAATGCATCCTAAAGCATTTTTACAGAATGTCGATTCTCAAATACAATGAGGGTATCTAATTCGAGGAAGAGTTCCAAGCCTTCCGACTTTGACCCACTCTTTGAGGAAACTGTTGTTCCATCACGTCTTTTTGCTGAAAAATATGCAACAATCAAGTCGAGTTAAATAAGCGCGTTATAATGTGTACCTCATAAAAAGCATAGGCAACCTAACGTAGGCTACAAATTTGGGAGCTTGAATTTCTGCTACATGAAGGGCCGAGACAATGAACAGAGAAATCACCAGATATTTAAGCATGTTTTAAGCATTTTTAAATAATAATTTTGAGATTCGCTCAACAAGCTAGCGTTCAATCAAGAACATTAATAAAAATACAAAAACTCGATTCAGATTATCTCAAAGCTATGTCAGAATGACCAATAATCTTTTAAATTGTTACGGCTTTACAGATGTTCTAGTTATCTCGAAACTGTACAATAATAGTCTTTTTTAGGTTATTACACTGCTTCCGTGTGTTATGGGTTCTTTCTCCTCTACCTTAGTGGTCCGAGGTCAGAAGAAGAAGATGCTTGGTTGGGAACCCACGACAGAGAAGGGATACTTACGAGGTGATAGCACCAATCAGGTGCAGCGTAAAGGTAGTTCAGAGCCTCTGGTGGTGCAGAGCAGAGAGCGAGGGAGAAGCCACGCCAGAGTTCACATGAAAAGAGAGGTGCCAAGGGGTGTAGCATCACAATGAGGTCTGCCATCGCTTTCAAGTAGGTCCGGCTTGACATACATCTTTCGCCCTCTCGTGAGTGCTTCTAAAGAAGCAGGACTCCTCTTGATTCATTGTTCGAAATACGCTTAAATAAGCAGTCATGATCGAATAGCAGCGGTCGAATATACAAATATGCAAATTAGCATTACCGATTCTCTTTGGAAAAAGCTGCGAACAGGGAGGTGAAGGGTATAGAAATTAAGACCACGAGGGATGTGACGCAATAATGACGCCGAAAAGTAAAACACATGGCTGTTACTAAAAAAATACACAAAACATGGCACCAAAAGAAGGACGGCTTTGCATTTTCCGCGCCTCACCTCACCTTATCCAATTTATAATAGAAAAACCCGCTTAGCATTAGAGAGATTGGATGGATTGAGAGTTCTATCTAATAACAAGCTAAAACATAATCGAAGCATGTTACATTGAGGAAGTTTACAGCTTATGCCAAAAGGTGTCATACCTCGTAGCTTCTCGGTAGATTTGCATAAGAAATGACTTATGGCTGAGAGTGCATCACAATACCTCCAACAATGCGATTTTTAAGGTCCCCGTAGATTTTAGGCAAAAGGGTGCATCAAAAAGGCGCGTACGAAAATTGCTGAAAACTAAACCACTCCGCTTTAAGGGCTGAAGTGCCAGTTGAAGCGCTTAGTGACTTGGCCAAAAGGAGAATATGAGTCAGTGAAGAACGGCAGTTGTGGCGAAGCTCGAGGGAACAATTACTGCTGGGCTGGAAAACTCATTTTTGTACTCCAACTTTCCAGGTCCCGTCATTGAAAGATGAATAACAATTAAATGGAAAAGCTGAATGTAATTTATTAAATACTACGCTTAAATGGGCAAAAAGCGCACTAACGCATGACCTTGTGAGCAATCCCAGTTGTGAGAACAAAAAGGCAAGGAGATCCTGCCTTAATAAACACGAAGCATAGAAGAAATAAGAAACATTTGGCTGAGTAGCAACTACCAAGGGATGAGTAAGTCGGTGGCCATGACCAAACGACTCCTTCAATAGGGGTAGTTTACGTTTTGCGAGAGACCAAGGTATCGACGGAAGAAACTCAACCAATGTAAGCATAATCAACGAGGTCAAACAAACTAATTCATACACAGTCATCTTAAGCCCACCAAACGACACGGTTATATCTTGGCAGAATAAAGTAGTGCCAATGCTTGATTCAAAATGATCACAAAGCAGCAAACTTAGGAGGAGCTTACGAGAAGGATATTTGTCAGCTTTTGAAGGTTCGCAATGACGGAACTCAAAACAAACGATTCGCCATAGTGGTGATGAACCTAAGAAGAGAAAACGGAACTGTAATGGAAAAGACTTGGAGCAGATGTTTTTTTTGATACCACTAACTACCCCTAAATAGGCGGAAGTTAAGCTCCGCACTTGATAAAAAACTGCTAGTTAGCGTTTGCACGTGGCGTGGGTTAAGATGCACCAGAGGTTAGGCGATTATGTTTTTGCAAAGCAACAGTGTACAAGGAGGTATAAGAAATTATTCCTAGTTTACTGAACAAAAAATAAGGCCATTTGCGGCGGAAGTGCTTTGCTAGCAAATTAGTCTACAAACAAAATTAAAAGCGAATCAAAGCAAAAAATTAGAAGACAAAAAATATGGGAAGGAAATACCTGCTCAATAATGTGTGCGTAGGTCTGCAAGAAGTCCCCATCAGTGGCGAGATAATCGGTTTGATCGGCAGAGGGCCAGAGGGTAGAAGACTTATTGGAGAATTCAATAAGTTGGCCAATTAATCTCCAAATCCGAGATTGCCAGTTTTTCACTCCTCGAAGTACTGGAATTGAGAGCGCATTATTTCCAAAACGTTACATAGTAGAGTTTTGGTGTAAACACGAAACTCACGGTTTGATTCGACTTAATTTCAGAAGTGTGAGCGCAGCTTAAAGGAAGGACGATATGAATGAATGCAAAGTCCCAGCCAGGGACAGGAGGGAAATCTTTGATTTGCAAAAATAACTTATTTCGACATGAAAGAAAGCGATGCGTTTTTAGACGTAACTGGGACATTGTGATGATGCGGACTGGTGCAACGCATCTATCACACTCTTCAATCAACATGACCAAATGCGCAGTTGGGAGGGTCTCGATACTTGACAGTGTTAAGGAGCAAAAAGATCATTCACTTACCCACTGGTCAAAGACCAAACGGTCTCTGAGTAAAGAACTTAAACGGTAAGACGTTTTGGGTGCACAAATGATACGCATTATCGTTTCCAACCATGTCAATGGGATGTCGATTAACAAAAAACCCCTTTGAGGTGAAAAGCAATGGAGTCTAGAGAAACTTAGACGAGCATGGGGAAGCTGTATGGCTTGGAATCGAGCGCAGATAGATAAGGCGCACATATTTTTAGTAAAAATAATAGAATGCTAATGCTCGGTATGAAAAAGGCTAGTGTGAGGAGTGCATATGTTTAGCATGAGTAAGCCGCCATTAAAGCGGCTAGAATGCGTGATTATCCGCCCTCGTTTTTTTAATGCATAAAAATGCTCTTGAAAATATCCTCAGTGACAAAGTCAACTAGAAATGCTGCATTTCTAACGCTAGATGGTTGCACAACTTGATGATGATAGGCTAGTATTAGCGCCTAGCCTGTTCAACCAGGTTTCACAGTCCATACCCTCTTTAGGCATTCAGATTTTCAGAAATCCAAGGATGGTAAGCGGATAAAATAAACAGAGCCTAGCAGAATGCTACAATGTCCAAGGGATAGCAGAAACTCAATTTTCCATAAAACACCCCGTGTTGTAAATAATCATCGGGGGACGCTTCAGTGTATGAATTTTGAATTCCTTAGGATAGAGAATATCAATAAAATATAATTACGAAAACTAGGTGCCACATGGCTTTGTCGAGACAATGCTTACCGTAGATGGTTATTGAATCTAACAATCATCAAAATGCGAAATTCACACAAACCTACTCCTATTATTGGAAAATTACAGGTGGATCGGGATGGCAGAAGTCAATGAACGCGACAGATTCATGAAAAGTAATTGCACATTGATAGTTTCTCAAAAATCAAGCAAGGTTCACCGTTGAAATCTTGAGTGTACAGGTCAGGGTAGTACCAACTAAACAAAAAAAAAGCACAGCAGTAGAATAGGGATGGGAAAAACAGGCATACTCTCGTCTTCATTCCATTGTCTGGCTGCATGCGGTCCTGTGCTGGCCAGCATGGTCAGTCGTGTAAGCTCCACACCGTGGCGAGAGAACACCTCGGAGGGATCCACGCCATTCAGTTTTGACTTGCTCATCTTTTCCCACGACTCCACCACCACTTCGCCTGTTGCCTTCATGCGAGCAATGCCTACAGCATGGAAGGAAAACTACCACTAGCGCGTCTTCCATTGTAAATTCAGTTACAGAGAAATAAAACAGCAGTTAAAACGCTGGAGAAAGTGTAAACCATATGAGAATGGTATAATTGCACCATTCAATGAGTTAAATATTCATAAACAAGGTCCAGCGATCTGATGCCCAAAAGAATTCTACAGAAGCAGGCATTAGAGTAACTAAGCCTATCTCCTTCCATGTTTACATTTTCCGCTACCAACAGTGTTGTACCGTAGAACAGCTTAAAATACTACTGGCGGTCTCACTTCAGTTAGGCTGCCTAGAATGTGGAGCTCGTTTTAGTTTTGTTCCGATCACGCACTTGTTTTGCATCTCAACCAAGGACAAAAAATAGTATTATTTTTTCCTCTCGCCCTCACCTCATTCTCGAACTGTGTCTGTTAAACGAGGATTGTCAAGGGAGAAAAACGGATTCGACAACAAACATATGACCTACATCAGTGACTCTTCACTTGATCAAATAATTTACTTCGCTAACCAGTGACCCTGTATGCAATTTTATTGCATCGAAAATGTATGCATAAATAGTTATGGCCTTAATCTTTACTTAGCCCTATTTAAAAGTAAGAGCCGTGTACGATTGTATCTGCAGTATGAATGCTGAATTTCACGAAAATAAATATGAATGAGGGGCTTCAGTGATGCCCATAATGAGTTTAATTAAGTAATTAAAAGTAAAACGGAGTTAACGATCTAAAGCATATTAGAACGTGCTAAAGTAGATTTCAAGGGAAATCTAACTGGGTGGAACTTCGTGAGAGGAACAAGTGATTGCGCATGGATGGCGGCGCAGCTGATGGTATCTCGCATAAAATATGGACTGCAGTCAGTGAGTGCGGTGCTTTGAAGTTAGTGGCTAACTTGCGCCACCGACTGGCAATGTGCATTTTAAAACAATTATTTTGAATGAAAACTAGCTCATCATAAAAAATTAAATCATTACATGCATTTAGAGGGTGTTTTCAAGCCTTTTAAAACAAATGGGGTCATGCAGAATTCCAACGAACAGATACCACTATCCAAACGAGAAAAAATATCATCTGTCATTACTCATAAACATCGATAAAACACTGACACTGAATTTGTACAATATCAAAGGATTACACAGTTTGGAAAAAAACCCCATCCCAAGTTGATGAGCTTAAATAACCTGCTACCTCCCAACACCCCAAGCAGCTCACTAAGTGCTATTTTTGTGATTTTATGAAGGATGCGTAGCATCACTTTCAGTTATGCAGATCTCATTTTATAACTCCATTTAAGCTTAAACATATCGTGGGAAGCAATGACGTACTTCTTTTGGCCTATACTTTAGTAACGAAAACAAAACGATAATTCAAAAATGATAAAGCTTCTACGATACGTATTAACGTTTACCAATTCTAACCTGGACGTATCTCCAGAGTAAATTGACTTCCAATAATGGAACCCGTTGCAGACAAATATGAGTTGCACAGGAGAACATTCGAAAATCACAGCAAGTAATCACTATCACGACTAGAAAAGAACGTTCTCCATGCGGATGGATGTAAATGACCTTTAATGATTTTGGTAACACTGACAGAACAAAGACTCTAAGCTCGAACGCAATAATAAAAACAGACGTGGTTCGTGTCTTTATTTGAAAATGGAGTGAAAATACTAAAGCCAAAGTAGTTCAAATGACATGGTTTCATGCAAGTTTTAGCATAGATGAGGGAGCACAATACTGACTGAAGTCAGTCCATCTTATCCACCACGGACAGTCAAGGTTCTAAGAGGTCCATGCGTATCCCAAATACCCAGGCCCAGTTTGGCGTAAAAATCAAACAGCAGTGAATAAACATAAATGCGCGCCTTTCATTCCCACTATCAGAAACCATCATCTATACACTCTTCAGACCTCCGTACTCAAATGTGCGCAAGCGCGCGATGCAAGCAGTCCGAGTGAAACGAACAACTAATGTTAAAAATCAGATAGCCAACAGCAGTACTAGTCTCCAAAGTTTGGAGATAAAGGAACAAATCGTAACAACGGTAAACGAAAAAGTGGTCTTCAGAATTCTGAGCAGATGTTGAGGATGATGCTGAAAATGCTACCTAACGAAAATGAGGAATGGCACCAAAAGCATTTACAATGGCGTCGATGATCAAATAGGAGCGAAGAAGATTAATGACGGGTTAGTATATAGAGCAAGATAAAATTCTAACAAAATTATACTGGTGCCATTTCAATGCAATGTTGGCATAGTTTTCGGTAAATAACGCCTTTTTCTGCCCACATTTACTCCATTTCAGGAGAAATGGTACTTAAACGTAGACGCATAGTAGCACTGCTTCATGAAAGCCGAGCAGTAATCGTAATAAACGAAGTGATTTTGCATTTACTATCATCTCAAGTCGCACGTACTAGACTGGATGAAAAACGCAGTATAGACAATGAAATGACGCAGTAAAAAACAGAATTCAATAGGCTACTACAACTGAACATGACAAAAACTTTTGTCTTTATGCAATGGATCACAAACATTACCTTTCCGAACCACAAGCTGTTCAAAATAACCTTTACCAATTACTATTAATGGAAAATTATGATGCCATATTTAAGAATTATGCAAGTGTTTGAAGTAAGCAATGAGGTACACATGCCCTAACTTCAATGCTCACGAAAGCACATTTGAAAAACAAAGCACCACTAGAATTAATGCTTCGAAAATGAAGTAGATTCGTGAATTTAAAAGTATTTAGTATCGTTAACCCAAGTGCACTTCTCGTCCTGTAATGACCTGTTGCGACCTTCAATTATCCAACCAGAATGCACTACTTGTGGCTGCAGAATAGGACCACTTGAACGTCATAAAACAAAATAATCTATGAACGCAGGCGGTGATATCAGTCTGTACCACAAGTCTCTCATTAGCTTGGAAAAATGACGACACATGCTTCTAAGTCTAGTTAACAGCAACATTATCGGGAGCCTTGGGTTACTTGGCTAAAAAGCCATCCATGATTCTATAGGCTTTTTGAGGCATTAATGATTGAAAAATACCTAGAACATGAGACAAGAACGCCTCAGAGGCAACAAAACGAGTTCAAGCTTAGCTACAAATTCTTTTTTTCATAACCACCCAAAGCCCCTCATGGTCCAGTAAAATAGGTGAGTATCCAAGCAAACAGACCAGATGATTTTGACTAACATAAAACGACTTATGAGACGCATCACACTTCCATTTTCGCAAACTTTATGGAAGTTAAAGTGACCCACGGAAAACGTCATTAGAATTACGCTCCTACTGCCTTCACAAACCGTTTGCACTTTCTTTCGTGTAAAATTCACACCGATATTACTAAAAGCATTTGCTAGTACACCTGATGGTGGATTAGCAATCGTTTTGAAAAAAGGCCGTGAATTCAAGCGAGTTTAACAGCCAAAGACGAAATTTGGACCTATTTTAATCTATTTTAAACCAACGGTTCCATAAATTACACTATCAGTACAGGTAAATTCTTACCAGTCTCTCTTAACGATAAAAGATGAGCATTTTATATGCAGGTTTGCGTAATAGCCAGATCATGAAAGATGGTAACAATAATGCTACCCTTCAAATGTCTTCTACAGTACAGCTTTAACTACGGATGAGGTTTCATACCACTGCTGTCCCTTTCAATTTCCTTCACGGAGAGGTACTGTCCCGTGGTTGAACTCTTGAAAGTCCTCCCCATCACTAGACCAACGGGGAGAAAACGTCGGAACGGCTCCCGACAAGGCAACAAACCTAGTTCGCGATGCAAGAAGTGAGCAATAAATCGCGCATAGAAGAGGTGACGGATGGCTGGAAAGAACAACAGACATTAGAGTTGGATATCACAATCAGTTGTGCACTGAGAACGCGTATAGTTCAAACCGACCGTGTTCAACACCACCAATGTATATGTCCACGGGAATGTGCTTGTGTGCATTGTCGCGTGAGCAAATCTCCCTAGAGTTCGCTGGGTCGAGGAAGCGAAGATAGTACCAGGATGAATCGACGAAAGTATCCAGTGTGTCGACCTCACGTTCAGCTGGATTTCCACAACTAAATCCAAGAAAATAAACCTAAGTTCATCATTCTAGTTTTAGTAATTTAGGGGACCTGCCGCATGACTAAGAGGTCCAGAAGCTGTTTTGTCGAAAAGTTAAATCAATAAATAACTTGTCAAAATCATCATCATTTATTTTGTTGCATAAATCAGTTTGCATTCTATCCATTTTGCTACTGAAGCTAAAAGTAATGTGTACGCTGACAAACAACTAGCGGAGGATCTAGCGTAAGTCACCAGTGTTAGCTAAATTTCACCACGATGGCAAACGCAGGTAGAAAATACGTTTAAGCGTGCCCAAGGATTACGATTTCTTGCATTTTAACCGGAGCAAGTTTTACGTCTGTGGTGAACACAACCAAAACAATTTCTCTCTTTTTTGGCTCGCTTGTAGACTGACAAAGCGCATTCCTGTGTGTACTAGCCTCTACTTTAGGTTTAGCCAGTTTGTGATGAGTTAAAACTCCGTGCCACTCAACGTGTACGATAGGGAAATGTTTTAAAAAGCTACCTTTGTGACGAGTTTTGTGAATACCAACCCAGAATGTTACCTCAAGTAATTATCCCACTTGCACAATTTGTTACCATAGCGATAATTTAACTTAAATCAGTAGTGAAATCTACCTTGCTAAGAGCTAAAAAAACCTAATACCAATTGGTCGTATGCATAGGTCAAGCTCCTACGCATTAGGCCAAAGAGGAAGACTTATTAACTGCCACTTAATTGATGAATTGCTGCTTCCACAAAGGGTATCTGCGATTGCAAAAAGAGCGACGATACTTTTCAAAATACGCGAATGTCGCTCATATGACCTATCGCTTTCCTACCCAATAAATTTACCTTGGGCACGTAGTGCAACGCCACTCTATGTTCTCCTTTAAAGGAACATCACCGCGTTTCAGAGGCGCTTCTAGAAGAGGTAATTCAACCGGTAGGTCCTCCTCCGGCACAGGAACAGTCTGCAAATGATCCAACGCTTTGAGAGTTGTTAACCGGCGAAGTGGAAGCAAAAAGGATATTCAAATAACCAGGACCTTTGGGAACGCTTCCCGAGTCATCACACATAATGCGTATGGCCATATGTTATGCTGTTACCGAGACAAGAGACTAAGGAGTACATAACATGAAGGTCGTAAATCAGCAGATCATAAGGTGAGCAATTGGACATAGTTCTCTTAATTTTTTAGTTTTATTATTTTTTTCAAACAATGATGCTGCAGCCCATACAGCAATTACACAAAGGTTATCGAACGATATATTTACATCCGTTAGAGATACAAAGGGAGAGAAGCGTCTAATTGGCACAAAATACTGAATTCTGATTGGAAACTGATTGCATTAAATACGGCTGGATTTGGAAAGTACTGACATGCAATACTGTATGGCAAGAAAAATGAAAGAATTAACTCCACTAACTGTCACTAACCATTTAGCACGTCAATTCAAACCAGAAACTGCAGCATGGAATTACGAATAAGAGTGCAAGGCGTTTTAGACCCATTAAAGCCTTAAAGTAACCATACATTAACACGCAAAACTGATACCCGTCGACTGTAAGTGGTAGCAACGATAAATACAATCGTTACTCAAATCAACTGCTGTACCAGCATTAGAAGAGTATTCAATCAACTGATACTCAAAACGTTTACATCAAATGACACATGAAACATCTTGATACAACGATACTAGTGTTATGCGCAGCTAAAAAATAGTCATGAAGTTAATCAGCTGCTTTTCTGCAAAAATTAAAGATTTAAAAATTTCTACAGTTCGCTAAATAATGAGGAAGATTGTACAGCGTTCTGAGGCATCGTGATTAGTATGTCCAAAGACCCCAGAAACGCGCCTCTGTTTTGGTAGTGTAGAAGTAAATTTTTCCTATCCCACTTTCCTTTAGTTGTCAATGTAGTGCAGAGACGTGCATCGAATGTACAAACTTCATTGCAAGATCAAGACCCGTGCCATTTACGTGCCTCATTATGACAGCCAGCAGGTGCGAGCATGCACGTCACAACACTGATATACATATCTCTCCGCAAATAAAGATCTCCGCTTTAAAGGGTTCACATTCCTGATCGCCTTAATTGGGAACTTGACGACATTCGTGCTCACAAATGCATAGCAGATTATTACATGCTAGACCTCTTTCGGGACCCCAGCAACAACACTTGTAGAGAAAGCCTATTAGTGGAGGTACCATTTCCAGCACCAATGAGTACTTGACTGAGGTCAGTAAATTGTCTTAGTTTTCGGTACATGGTATTGAATGCGTTTTTTTCCACATTTACATTTTATAAGTAATGGTAGTCAGTCAAAAAGCTTCCCACTTTGCCGACCCTAGGACAGCGACAAACTCGAATGATATGCAAGACCAAGATGAAACACAAGAGGATGTTGGCTCACCCCGCAGTTTGGGCAGTATATAAGGGGAATCGGCGTGGCCCAATATCGCTGTCTGGATACGGACCAGTCTTTTCGATACCTACTGCAGCGATAAAGCCTGTAATCGGAACCCTGCAACACACAAGAACCTCAATTCAATTAATTGAGTCGAGTTGAAAAGACCAAAGGGAGCTACTAAAATCTCACTTTTAATTTACTCACGGCCAAATCAGTTGCCTCCATCGAATTGAGTCCATTAAACTGAAGCCAAAAGCAAACGTTCTTTTACACCACTTATAAAAACAAGAGGTCAATTAATCCGAAAGGTAGATAAGGAAAGTGCAAAAAACTGGTCGTCTGTAGTCGCAAGGCAGCTAACTTAATTACTTAGCAGTGAAGTAATTCAATTGTCTAAGAGTGGATGGGTAACTAAATAATCAAAACTTGATTTGGATCTCCATGTTTCCCATTACAACGGTTGATTTTTAATGCATAAACCCTATGTTTGTTAATACATCGCATATTTGTGGAGAAAATTACCAGAAACACCACAATTCACCTCTGATAAAGGACTCTGCCTAACCGTGATTTGCAACTCAGTATCAGTTTCTCTAAGGCGATTGGTATCAATTTGACATTCAGGGGGCGGAAGATCAAGAAAGCGGCTCAGCTCCCTATGTCGTTCGCAGATGGCAGGTGTGCCTAAAGCATTCACAAAACGCAGAAAATTCAGCAACGACTTTAGTTAGCACAAAAAATAGCATAGAACCAAGGTAATGAACTAGAAAATACCCAAGTAGTTGAAACGCACCTAACTCGATCGCTGCTTCGTACTCAACCTTGGGACGTAACTGTGGGTCGTATATAAGCGGGATGGAGGTGGTTGTGAGGAAATGTTTAGCGCTAATGTTGAGCCTCTCTGGCCAAGGATTACATGATGCGGCGGGCTCCACAGAGAGTTTGCCCAGGAATGAGCCCATACTTGTGACAACTAGTTTTCGAGACCCATTAGCTCCACATTTGTTTTGCGGCTATAATATAAGCTTATCAATATTTACCGGAATATATGTGCATATATATACATGCATACGTGTTAAACACTAGTAAAGAAATGACCAATCGACCGACTTACCAGACATTTGTTGCAAATATGTATTTTGTGGAAAAAGCTTACGAATCGGAATCGTTCATTCCAAAATATGCTCTGAGGCCCCACGGCAACGAAGCTAATGGCACCAGCAGCTACAAGACCGGGCTGTTTCGTGAAAACTGCTAGACGTTCCCCTTGAAGATCCTTATCGGTGGAATGGAAATCTAGGTCGAACTCCACAACGAAGCCATCGTTTGGGCCAATCCAACCCTCTTGCATTTGAATAACGTCACGCCACTGCTGACCCTTAATCTCTCCAAGGCCATCTTTCAGTGACTAGAAAATAACATACCAGTGGCTTCCAGTGAGCTTCTCATGCACCTCAGTGTACACAAAAATACTCTCAATACTTAGACTGTTATTCTGATGAGCAGCCTTCTTGAAAGCTACGTGCTATAGAACAATAATACACTGCCACGACTTGCCTCCGAGTAAGCCAGTGTTCTAAAGTACCATTGGCGCATTGCTCGCTTCTCTACTAACGCTCCAGAACGCCAAGATCTACCCTCAGCATCGACAAGTTCGTTTGCAAGAACAGTTTTGTCAACGGGATCCCAGTTCACTTCGCCCAACCGCCTATACGCCAGGCCAGCTTTGAAGAGTTTTATAAACAGCCACTGAGTCCACCGATAATAGTCTGGATTGCATGTAGCAATTTCACGTGTCCAATCAAACGACAACTTCATATCATTCTTAAGTTGTTTACGCATATTCTGGATGTTTCTTTTAGAAAAACAAAGGCGCTTAAATACATTAAGTAGAGGAACACAATACGGTTTTAATTGCCACGCACTTGCGAGTCCATTCCTCTGGTAGGACACCACGATCAATCGCAGCATTCTCGGCAGGAAGACCAAAAGCATCCCATCCCATAGGAAATATAACTTGATTTCCGAGAAGCTGATAATACCTTGCAAGAACATCACCCACGACATATACACGAAGGTGACCCATATGTAACCTTCCAGATGGATAAGGAAACATCGACAATATATAAAAAACCTTATTCTTTACAACCTCAATTCAGATAAACTCCTTACAGTGTCGCCTGCTTTTGTAATTGTTACCTTTCGACGATTAACAGAATCTCCCCACCTATTTTCAATGTCCAGACGCAATTTACTGTCTAACTCAGGCTAGAGGAATCAAATATAGGCATTGTTGTACCCAGATACGGCTAGATGATGTCGAAAAGGCTAAGCGATTATATTTCCTTCCAAAGACGGAGCCACTTCTCCAGAGCATGATGACACACCCTAATCGCAACTGCACACGCATTAAATATGCCAGTTTGACCAAAAATAGCGACCTATACAAGCACAAATACAAACAAATTCTTATAAGTGATTGTGATATGGTTTCAAGTTAACAATGTAGTTTACAGCTGTTGAGTTTTATTACCAATTTGTGCTATCATAATTGATTTTTACAAATTAAAATTGACTTAGATTTCTTGAAATTTTAATAAAAGTTTTGCAAAATCTTGGCCGGAAAAGTAAATAGGGTAAAAATGCAGTAAATATAAATCGTACACTTCATTTTGACTTTTACATATTCTGCACTTTCTAAAATAAATAAAACATACAAATAAATACACGCCTAGGTCTTGATTACAAAAGTCCCGTATCGTCCCAACACTTCCGAGTTGAGCCGAATATACGTACTTAGAGAGATAATGCTGCGATTTACTTTTCCTTTTGTCTGAAATTCAGCCTAGGAATACAGTAGCATGGCAAACACCGTAGTAACTTCCAGCCATTGGCCGTCACATGACCAAGGCATTCGAGACCCAGACTTAAATCCAACCTCAGCAGTGCTGATCGCGGTTCTCGCCTGTTTAACGACCTGTGTCCGATGTTACCATTGATCTATCCTGTTTAAACTCGCCCATCAGTTCTGAAGCGAAAACAGGTTTTTGACATGATGAGTATGGGCCAAAGGTGGCTGCTGTCAGTGTTGCCCTGACTACTCCACCCTTTCATAAAGCCTTATAGAGAATGGTACCAGTTCCCGCGTCGTTCACGATGTGGTGATTAAAATGGGAGCCAAATCTGTGGACGCTGGAAAATCCAAGCATCTATACTAGTGTCGGAACATTGAGCTCGAGCTGGGTCCCCTCCTAGCGCTTCCGAGTTTACTAGAAGACCCCTCCCCTACTGGTTCCCAATATTACCACGGGATTAACTCAAACGGAAAATCTAGGGTGGCGTTGAATCCCCATTCATAAGGGGGACGCGAAAATCCACGAGGTAAGAGTCCAGACATTGGCGCGAACCTGATGGACCGGCGTGGAGATTGCTTACAGCTTTCGCAAGCACCACAATGATCATTAGTGTGCATGTTCGTCGATTAAAATTAAGATTTCCGATGAATTTACGAAACAGAACACAGGCAGCGCTGCCGATACGGACCCCCGTAATAGCCCCCAAATTACGCGTCGAATCTAGACACACGTTGCCGACCGACACGCCAGATGGCCATCCTCCAGACTAATCGATAGCAAGCAATCTGCTATCCGCCATTATTGTGTAAAGACCAATTCCAGGTAGGCAACTTTCGCGATGCCAACATCACCTCCGATCCAGAATCGGGGTTCCCGATGAGAGACCCCATCTCCCTTTGGACTAACAACTTCAAACCTGCGCTAGTGGATGCAGACCACAAGTTATTATGGAAATTCAGAACCCATTGAACGCCACATTACAACCGCCCGAACGCCAGCATCTGTTGAGTAACGACTTTCAAAACATAGACGTGCACCATATGCCCCGCTACTACAACACTGTAATGGAAATCTGGATATATACGTAGCTGGCAATGGACACCTTTGCATCGACTACTACGAAAAAATAGTATTTGTTAAATACCGAGACCTCTACTATAGAGAAAAAGGTAGGATAAAAAATCTGCAGAGAAACCCCTCGTTATTGCCAGTCAGAAAAGCCAAGCTAAGTGTCCAAATCAACTTGACGCATTTACCACTTACTTTTGTAACCTAGTGCTTACTTTGAAGAGGATAAAATAGTCACGAATGTAAGTGGCTACGAACGTGAAGGAACAGCTCAAAAGTGTCTCACGCCAAGTGCGGAACCCACAACCCACCCCATAATGCAGTTATAAGCTCAAGACCTCAACAGTCCCCTGCACCCTCCTATCGATTTGCTCGTTCATTGGTCAATAAGACCGGCTGCGGTGCGGACGTGTGTGCTCACTCTGCACGCACATATGTGGGACCACGATAGTACCACACAGACAGGCTTCCTTATTGGCTTATTGCATACGGGTTAAAGTGGAGACGTAGGTCCGATCCTTATCCGTCGTGGGAGCTATGCCTGCTGGTTCTCTCCTCTGGGGTGCGTTTTCGCCTTCGCGATCAGTAAGCCCGGGTAGCGTTCAGGTGTCCCAGTCCCCGTGGCACCTGGGGAACGCTTCTCCCCAACGTAAGTAAATTTGTGGCGAGGCCCTCCATCGGCAATCCTTTGCTTCATGTACAAATTTGTTTCAATATTGCAAAATAACCAAGTGAAACCTGTGGGTGTACCCACTGTCATAGGAGCGGCTCTGTCCTACAAATCAGGCGACAGGTGAAATTTTAATCTATCCATGCATATACGACAAAGGGTTTCCTCGGTTCTTTTAGAAAACCAGGGTTATGGGGAACGCTACTCACTCGCGGTGGAACAAATTAATCGCTGGCGTGATCTGTGAGTTTCTTATCCGATGTTTCTTTGAATTGGTTGATCTGTTCTACCCTTCGAGTTGACTCCCCACCTACGCCGCCTTCAAAGCTATTACAGGCTAGTGAGTATTCATTTTTGTTTAGAGTTCAGACTAAGTGGCTTTACCAGGAGTGATTGATCAATGTCTGGTGCTCCATCAGTTTGTATTTTTGCTTGAGCATTTTGGAGTCCTCCAAGATCTGAATAATACTAAGCCAAACAATCGTGCCCCAAACCACCTCATATTACCCGAGGATTGACGATGTTTAGAGGTTTGCAGTCAAATGGTGACGAACTAGCCATCGTCAGTCGATTAAGTAGATCCTCGGAGCATCGAGATTCTGGCCACACGGTTATCGAGGCTCAGAGTACGATTACTTATCTCAAGACTTCATTGTTTTGAAGACGTTGAGTCCCGAGTTTCGATGTGTGTTTTAGTAACATTGTCAGCGACTCCTGATTAAAGCCTTGTGAGAGTACCAATTGCTGTTTGTGCTTCTACCCTGAGCTTTTGATTGGCGAATGGAGTCACGTTTTCGTGAAGTTGGTGACTTCTTTCTTCCTTTCTACCTTGGCGATGGGTTTGTTGTGCCCGGATTTCATTCCCCGCTTGCTAAATTTCAATAATATAGTTTCTGTTTATAATGCAAGTATCTGATTTCTTAGTGATGATCTGCTACTTCGCAATACACGTGAGTGCCATCGTTTACAGAAGCGTAACATCACCGCCTGACGAAACATGTTCACTGTTTCCTCTAATGTCAACCGGTTGCAGCACTCGGATGTTTTCATTCTGCCAGAATCGTTGGCTTGCATCCAGCTGAGAAAAACTTGGTTTCAAGAGCTTACCCTACTCTCTCGATTGGTACTTAAGCTGTGAAACTGCAGTCCTTGTTTAGGGACATCGAAGACTTCCATGGCTTCGTCCATTCCGTCCGAACCCAGTCTCACTTTCATGCAATTTCGGAGCAGGGTATCCCACCGAATTCCAACGTTCCGGTTTTATTACTCCCCTCCTTTTCCGAATGGGCATGTGATCAATCCAGACTGTCGCTTCCATCATCTGCATCTAATCAATGCTCAAAAAGTGTTCCGACTCGTATTGATTTTGGGGATGTCTCAACCACTGTCGGAGCCAGAGAGACCAACTAAAGGGGGCCGTTTGTCTGGCTAGATTCGAGGTGCACTGTTTATGAAAGCACGTAGCCGCTAGAGTACAAAGGCACTACCCTTCAACATGGCGGTGGTGGATGCGCTCGCCTGTGGAGCATTGGTTTTAATTGTGGATAAGATAAGAGGCAGTGTGGTAGGCGATGCGGCTGGGTGTTCTAATCCTTGGGTAGATGGACGGAGTTCTGGTTTCTGGTCCTAGGAGGAGTATCGGGATTTTCTCCGAAGAGAGGAGAGCCTGCTTGTTCCTTTAATCATTTGGTGACGCCTCCTATTCCCCGTTTAGCTGTTGATCCCCAACCATAGCACCGAAATGTGCTAACTAGCAAGTCACGGTCACTTGAGTAAGCAACGTCTATCCATCGCGCACCCACGAGGATTATCTTTTCGAGTGTCAAAAATTGTCATTTTTGGTTCGGCCGAGCGTGTCGATGAGCTTTCGGCTTCCCAGACTAATACGATTTTCTGTCTCTTCGGTACCGAAGTAGGGAGATGGGTGGGTCTGATTTGCGGACGTCATTCCTGGGATTTTTGTAGCGTTTGGTGCATTTCCGTGACCAAGTCTGATTCGGCGGAATACGGTATGAGCATTGTCCCTACATGTCCTCATTTTTGGCACCTCTTTCCTTCTCCCCCTCCCCCCCTTGGAGGATGCACAAAGTTAAGAAGTGAAATCTTCATGCTGTCATTTCCACCCCTTCTCCTTGTGCATAAGTAGGCATGCGAGGTTCGTGTAAAGAAAAACAGGTTAATGGTGTGTGGGCTGTTCTGTGCTTCCCATGTTGTGACTAGGTTCATTAACACTCCAGCGACTACCTTAGGTATGAAGGAGCATTCGCCTTTCAAGGTGGCTAGTTTCGTCAATCTCCAAGTTTCTAGGCCTCTGTACGCAGAATGTCGATGCGCCGAGTACATTCATACCCTTATGGACGCTTTATTGTTTTCCTAGGATAAAAAGCTATTACGAACAAGGGATTCCTATGGATAATCCTCTGCTGTATCGTCTTACCAATTTTCTCGGTCAACTAATTCTTCTAATCCGCCATCTTTGTGAGGCGAACATGGACCTCTGTGTCTTCTGCCGAAACAACAACGAGACTTTTGAGATGTACACCAGCCACAAGGTATGGTTCTGAGTGGCTTGCCAAAAGTTTTGATTATTTACCCTGTGGGCGCAGGTTCTGTGCGTTGCCACGTAGTCTGCATAATAGCAGTTGGTCCATCGGCCTTGTTTAGACCATTCGTAAAACTCTACTGTAAAGACGGTGCCCAAGAGTGCGGTTGGTAAAGCAGTGTATCTGTGAGTTATTGGCCCGGTGAAGTGATTCTGATTCTATCCCTAACAGGTCAAGGATAGGGCGGGCCGTGTTATTTGTCCAGTACTGCGTCGATTTGTTTGTCCGCTGTGTTCGGCCACGGGGGACTACGCACACACCATACGCTATTGCCCGTTCTCGAGTCACAACGCCGCCGCCTCTGTCGGCTTCGGAATGCGTCCCCCTAATAGCACGATTACCACTGCCCATCATCGCATCTTTGAAGCTCCACCCACTACCACCTCATTTGATGGCGGCGTCTCTCGCTGCGTGAACATGGACGACAATAGTGACGGTGGGAGAAGACTAATTGATCAGTTAATGCTGGAAACTTGCCGCAGTTTATCGCTGAACTAATCTAGTACGGTTCCCCCTCCCCATCTCCTCAAACATGAATAGACTCCTCTGTCAATGGTAAATTAAATGCGAGTATATTCTTGTAAAAAGTGAATGTAGTTTTTTGAGGTTGGAAGCAGGATCTGCGGGGGGAGTGTCCAGTTCGCTCGAAGAGTGCACTGAGGCACGGCACCACGGTCCGTTTCGGCCCACATGACCTGACCGAAGTGGCAACGGTTAACTTCAGGAAAGTGCTGGGACTATCTGGCCGGAACGCCTGGGCTCTGCTGGCTTGAGAGGAAGGGGGCAAATTTAGGGCTAACTTGGGCGGAACCCGGAACCAGTTCTGGTCTGTGGACAACATTAGGACTCCAGCTGGTCCCATTCCTCCAGTTTCCGCATCGCTGTGGTTTTGGATTCATCCCAGTGTTGTCTGTACCCTAGGGGCTCGGCACAAATAAACCCCGGAGGTCAGCGGGCTAGACCAAAACATGCAGCGAGGAACACGCGCTCACGTGAGAACATCAACAGAATACAGACACACATGCACATACACACATGTCTGTCACACTCCCAACCCCGTCAATCAAGCTCTGAGCCAAGTGAAGACATGCCACTGTCGTCCCCACTGAGCTAAACCGCTAAAGATAGTACGACAAGTTGGAAGTGTCCACCCCACCAATAAGCTGTCTATCATCCCCACCTCGATTATCGGTCCAGAACTGACGTCTCCAACCGCACCACCGCCGGACGCCGAATATCATATTACTGGCCCACATCACACCGTGTAAGCCCGAACCAATGATTTCTATACAAGGGGGGCCCGAAGCAATTCCTACAAAAATACCGCCCGGAGCAGCTGGAGAGAACCACCAACAGGACGGAAAAATTACGAGCTCGCGCCAGTTAATCAACCTAAGACCAAGTCAAGTCCCATCAAACACAATCCAACTTCGTCTGGACAAACAACCAGCAGAACCAGGACGACGAGCTGGCAACTAATGCTGCTAGAATTCGAGAACACCTAAGTAGAGGCAAAAGTACACCTCCTCAATAGGTTGGTAATGAGTGAACACGATTTCAACAGGGACGCCCCTACTATAGAGCAAATACCTTTGAAATCAGATACGACTGGCTACACCCGTGACAGCGAAAGCAACAATTAAACCGAAGGTGCCAAGGCAGCACGAAAATCCGCAATGAACGAAGAAATAGCCGATGATTCCAAGGAACAGTAGCAAAACGGGGAGAACGCGATTTATTGACCCATACCAAATTAGAATTTGTTGAATCCCTTCTTCGACTTGTAGCCACTTGCTTTCGACACTTTGATGACATTGTAGCTCACGGTCTTGCTGAGGGGCCTGCATTCACCGCAAGTTACAGTATCGCCAATTTGAACGTCACGAAAGCACGGAGACATATGGACAGACATATTCTTGTGTCGCTTCTCAAAACGCTTGTACTTCCTGACATACTTCATATAGTCACGACGAATTACGATGGTACGATTCATCTTCATCTTACGAACGGTCCCAGTGAGAATACGACCGCGAATTGTGACGTCACTAGTGAAGGGACATTTCTTGTCAATGTAGGTGCCGAAAATAGCTTCTTTGGGGGTTTTATATCCAAGGCCAATGGATTTGTAATAACGTGACCCCTTTTTACCTAAAAGTTTCTGCTTCTGAAAGGCACGCTCAATCTACAAAGAAATATGATAAACCGAGTTAAAACCTGCTCAGCCATAGCACAATACACGCCGAAGTGAATACGAGCGCGCTATCGACGAGTCACTTAAAATAAACACTCAGGACACGCAAATCTAAACCCGCCGAAGCAGTCAATTTGGCGCTTTAATTTACTCAATCGCTTCATGTATTAGGTAATTTGATAAGATTGATAATGGTTGAATGGCGTAAACTGACTCGATATTGACGGATCTCATTAAGCGTTTTGGATTTTTATCAAAAAGCGCAACTTAAGTACCATCAGAATTGACTTTATTGAGGCATTAGAACTTGTATGTTGACTCAGGATTTTATAACCTATTTGTAGTACCTCCATCAATAGACACAAATTTGCAATATTTATCATTGTCTAGTTTCAGAAGCCATACATATTTCCAATTTTATCTTATTTGACACACTACATTTGCTTGCTTTGTGATAATTGAACCGGAGCTGCAAATATTTGTGGGCACACTTCCTCACCATCTTCCACTCCCTTGTTGATTTCCTTCTACACATGCTTCTTAAGTGTCTGTTAAATGCAAGATGCTTAATTAGACATAGCGGCAGTGTTTGAAATTTCGTAGAGCAAGGAAACTGAAACTAGGCATCTTTTTCTTCTGTGAGAACTAAGTCCTTTCGAGCATCCTGCCTCCAATTTACAGGGTGTCTTATAATAACTCTTTGGTATTACGAAATATTCCGCGCCTAAGCGTTACTTAGGTCCAACTTGAATAAAAAAATCGTAGAGAATGATGGGTTAGACTACTGCTGTACACTGTTAGTTCACAATCATCACTGCAAGTAAGTATTTCCTCTTTCTGCAGGATAAAACACGCATTGAAATGGACATACTGTTGCGCTTTGTTCTCACATAATGAATAAGGCAACGTTGCCGGTATAACAATTATTTTGGCAAACCCTTAGTCATTGACTGCTGACACAAACCAGTGTTGTCGCAATGCCTTTAGGGTGACTTAACGTCGTTGTGCTTACGAGCTTCAATATTCTGAAGAGCCATGTGTTTTGGTGCAATGTGGTGTAAAACGGAATCGGAGCTGGCAGTGTTAGCTCTGGCCTCTCATTCGGAGTATTGATTGTAGGTTAGACAATTTTCAAGGGAATTGATAAAGGTCTAAAATTAATACTTCTGAGATTACACGAGTAACAATGTTAACGGGAATAAGGCTCGCACACAGCGTCTCACGAAGTGATCATAATCTTTCTTCACTATAATGCCTTCCAAGGCCTTGCATAAAGAGGAGTTAACTTGTTAAATTACATCATAAACAGAAATGAAGATAACAAAAGAATGGTACTAACACTTGAATAAATCGCCAACTTCAAGTAACCGTGTCTTACGGTACGTAACCGATTAATAGACTAGCATAACATACATGAGTGGGAAAGTGGGTCAGCATCCTCTTAAGACTTGAAAAGATATTTCTAAAGGTCCTTTTGTATTTAGTAGTGGAATTTTCATTTCGGTCACCTGCAATTACACTTGTCAAGACTAAAGTGCCTTGTTCAGGATCCCGTTGATTCCAGTTGCTTAGCGTTTGATGACAAATCTATATACAGGTAATCACCTCACCCTTAAGTATTTGTAACTTTTTGCTTAAAACATTTAGTTTCATAATCTTAAATTTCGCAGTTTCTCGGGATTAATTTCGATAAAGTTGGGAACGAATTTCATGTGTCTTCCATCGTCACGCAACTGAAACATTCCTTTAGCTATATTTTACTTTATGGTAACATCTGAAACATTTTCAACACATTTTAAGGTCATACATTGACATAAAAATTATCTATTCTCTCTTTGAGCTGGATAGAGTCCATTTTAACTTGAATAAATAGACTATTTTCTATAGTCAAGGTAAAATTAACTCCTCAACAATAACAAGGCGTGGAAACAAAAGGCTCACGTCTATTTCAAGATATGATCGAAATGTAGGTGCTGCTAAAGGCTAATTCGCATACACCGAAGCAAATATCGTGCATACCACTGAATGCCTTGTTTGTATAAGTTTGTGATAAAACCAAGGGCACAGCAAAAAATTTAAGATCTGGCTGTTGTTTTTAGGCGATATACTCTTCAATCTCGGGGGTGGACTGTTAATGGATCCTGGTTTGTGGATGAACACCGAGTTTCTCACTTAATTTATGACAGCCTATTGCTCACGAGTAGAGATTCCTTCACAGTACCCCTACGAATAAAGCGTTGCAAAATAAATGTGACGTTCAAGGCAAACAAAAATCATTCCTACAAAAAATCTCACCTCGATCCATCCATCATCACCTAATATTATGGCAAATTTGTTCAGTCGTTGCTTATTGCTGCAAGTTTCGAACGAGTGATCTATTTACCTGAGTTTTGACAGGTCTTACCCCAGCAGAGTAAGGAAGAAAGTTTGGGGCCACTCAAAAAGGCTATTTAGGAGATTGATGTCTTCTTTTACGTAAATGCCACCATTGCGTGTACCTTATACCAGATTTGCAAGTTAAGTATCAGAAATGAGCCAGTGGAAAGTTGATGGGAATGCCGGTGGGATTTGCTGTCTCCTAATTAAAGTGCGAGAGAGGGATACATACATCTGGGTGGCTACTTATCCCGAGAGTAGGCGATCTACCGATATTCGGCGCTACCACTCAGCCTCTTAATAAGTTTGGCGCAGGGGAGAGAGGGAGCCTACTCCTGAGACAGAGGTCTGCATGACTCTCGACCGCCAGGTCCTGGCGCCAACGTTACTTAAACTTATCCCCGTATCGTATTCGCAACCCATTTAACAAATCTTAGCTAGAATAAGCTTAAGCGAAATTAATAGCATTGACTTTAGCTTTAGAGGTATAGAAAAAATACAGTTCTTTAACTTCAGCATATGTAATTACGTGTACTGGTGATGGAACTTGCATGTTTCCTCTGTGTAGAAAGATGTGAAAATGAGCTTTATGTCGGACGACAAAAAAATGTAGTAGGTTCAACTAGTTGATGTAAATAAAGGTGTTCATAGCGTACTTTAGACCTTTCTACTTCTAAATGCTATCGCTGAATACTGTAATGCGAGAGCTGCCCTACTAAGATAGAAATCGCTAAAATAGTTTGTTGCAGGATTTGGAAACATGTAGAGCTCTGCTCCTGTCATCATAAGGAATTGAGTAAGGGACTTACAATGGAGAAGCGGACGTTGACACTCGTAGATAATTAATACAGAAGAGGACGAACTTAGTCTTAGTTGATGCTGGTAGCGTCTATAACGCTTTATTTATGTAACCAAATGACGTTTAGCGGTCACATTGGTATTTGTCTGGCCTTCTACTCATGGACTGGCCTTAGGGCCATGCTCAGGTCCATTTGCTTTATCCTCTTTGGGATACATGTATTCGGCTTCACTTACTGCCTTCTTCCACCGGGTGGGAGTCACGGGACGCTACAGTGTCGAGTATTGTGGGAGGTGTTCTAGAATTAGGTTTGATATCAAATAAATACATGATTATTGTTTTAGCATTTTTGGTTAACAAGAGTTTGAACAATTGGGTTGTATTGTAGTTATTATTTCAGATAAATGATACCGAAAGTGGGGATACACACCGTGCATTTGAAACCAGAAAAATCAGCGACACCACCTTGAGCACGATGTTCAATGGCCACGAAATGGAACTTCACTTTATGGCGACTCTTATAATTGTCTTCGGCACAAAGAGGTTCAGTGATTCTCAACTGAGTGCAAGTAGTTCTAAATAATTGCAAGACAAAAGAGCTGCCGTTTTATAGTTATAGATTAATTGAGACTGTTAATACGCCCACATCTTAGTGAGATCTTCTGTTCCAATTATTTAACTGTTACCTTTTCTCCGGTCAACTGTCGCGCGTTTACTCCTGATTTCCTGGAGTGACGTGCATCTTTACGCTGATTGGACTAATGATCGCCACAAAGCCAAGACCAATCATTTATTACAAGTGCTGGGAACCGGAGTAGTCTGGAGTGTCCGAGATTCTCCGCTGACTAAGCAGCCGTCACATAGGCCTACAGTGACGTGTATAGAGGAGCCATTGTTTGCAAAATAGTCTAATAGAATCATTGAACGAATACACCCTTTTCAGTTACATTCCATACTTGAGCGATTTACTTTTCCGCATCAAAAGCAAGGGGAGTTTTACGTGTTTCATGAGCTGATATCAAATTTGAGTCTCAATACCTTTTCTAAATGGAGCTTCTTTTACCTTGACAATATCAATGCTAGTCGAATTTGAATAAACCATGAGCAAAATTAGTTTCGCAAATCTTAGGCTGTCTCTACTCTCAACTCTGAGCTTCAGAGAATCAACAGCTTTTGTTAACCATCTCCACAATTAGTGAACTTTGCGATCTTGCATCGAAGAAGGCGATTTAAACCTTAATTGTTGAATGTTACAGCTTCTGTTCACCCTTAACATTCTGCATTCTTGCAATCTTCTGTTCTGAGCTAAGGGTTACGTACGGCTCCGCTTTAGGAGAAGAGGGGACAGGTCGAATTTACTGTCACACTGCACGTGTTGATGCACAGGATCACATTGAATTCGACATATAGAGTTGGAAATGGAGATACGGATCGAGAAGGAAGCGGAAGGGCGAAGGTTTGGACGCTTGCTGGTAGAAAAAGGCGACAATTAAAGAGCCTTGGATTAGTGTAGTGATGGAAGACTGCGACATCTGCCCATAACGTGAGCGCAAGGGTATCTGGCGACGACAGATTGTGGGAGGAGGGATTCCTCAATCAAAAATGTAAGGTGAATAAAATAAAGGACAATTGAATTGAGGCGATTTTGAGACCTACATAAATATGCTTATCACCCATCAAGTAACTTAGTAGAAAAGTCATATAAAAATTTGTTTTGCAAGGAATTCCAAGCTTTATAAAAGATTCAAAGGGATCGGTAAGTAACCGGCGTTCAATTCATTGAGTTATTTTGCTATAGGATTAACTGATGACTTAACTCAGCTTCCCTTATAGTAGGGTACAAACTGCATTGTCAATTCA